CAATTACTGGACCAGCTCCTTCACAGAAACACAGAGTGACAAAGGAGTCTCTTGCCCATCATCCTAATTGGATCTTGAATGCCTTTGACTGCTAGATAAGCCATAAATTAACTGTTATCTCAATTACCTGGAGGTATTTTTCTTATCTTTGCCTCTTTAAATAAAGAAAGATCATTTGTATTTCAACTGAAATTTTTAAGGCAACTTTCAAGTAATCAAAGACAGTCTGAAAAGGAACACAGCTGTTTCAGAGCATCACCTTTTGGTCAGCTTACCCAGAGGAAGTAATTTTAAGAATTTTTAATGCAAATATTGAACTACAGCGGTATTATTTGTGTTAATCTTTTAAAAAGTATTCTTCTCTGTAGCAATAGAAGAGAGTTTGTAAGATGTGGAAAACTGATTTCTCTGAAGTATTCTGTTAATTGATTTCCTGTGAGTTAAATCCTTGAAGTAAAGAAAAATGGACATTGTTATTTGTTATGTTTAGAAAGTAGTTGAAATAGCATTACCACATAATCATAGCAGCAGCAGTTTCACATTAATGCTTAACATACCAAAAGGGAACAATATTTCAGCCTTCTGAAGGACTCTACTTCTGTTCATATACTGAACCTACCTACCAACATTACCCATTAAAGGGCAATATTTAAAGATTTGTTTATAACACATTTTTTTCATGTTTTTCATTGTAATGTATATTTTACTCCACTTCTGTGAGCATCCAGTATGTATAGAAATGGCATATTAAGAAGTGGTGCCAAGAAGTACGTTTGCATCAAAACTGCACAAAACTCAAACCATCTGTAATGTTTCCTCCAAAAAAAAAAATATTTAAATCTTTATTTGTACATTTTGGAAGTAAAAACAAGCAGCTTACAAACCAATGGAGTTTATTTATGGAATAAAGTATGAGTGTAATATTGATCCAACCGCTCTGTTTTTATTTGGTGCTGTTAAATATAACACAATTCTTGAAACTGCTGGAGAAGTCCTGTTTTTGTACCCACAACCCCCGTGGTATAAAACACCGTAAAAAAATCATTGCAAGTATTAATCTTTGTTGCCCCAACCCCTGATTGAGCGTGCTTGAAGGAGGCTGGAATTTGACCTTTGATATCTCTGCTCTATTTTCCTAATCTTAGGCTGAGATGGAAGGTCAGTTCTTTTGGGAGAGGGATGTTTGTGAGCTGGGCTCTGGCCACTGCGACATCCTCCAGCTGTGTGACCCGTGCTGGACACAAGGGACCCGCTTGTATTTTGTGCTCTGCCTTTGTTAGATTATTTAGCCTTTTTGTGTCTCAGTTAACATAAGAATAATATTAATTTTTTTGCTCACAGAGAAGATAGAGACCTCTTGAACAAATATGCTGCGTTCCAGATAGATATCTCCAAAAATTCATCAGGTAGTTCAACACAATGTAGAGGACGTGGAAGGAAAGGTAATGCTGGCTGGGAGGAAGAGACTGCCAGGGTTCTTCCCCCAAAAAAGGTCTTTTTAACCAAGCAAGCAAAGCTTTACTGGAAACCCAAGTCAAGGCTGGACCTCAGGTAACTCAAAGTAGAACTTTTAAAAGGAACTACAAGAAGGAGCATCCTCCAAGCTTTGCAGCTCAGCTCCGTGGTAGATCTGCTCTCCTGAGGGCCCACTGATCCCTCTTGCTGCTCTCCAGGAAAAGCACACAATGCCTGCCTCAAACAGGAGGGTCTTTCTCTTTCTGGTGGATTCCTGGGTCTCCATCACAGGGTGATAAATTACAGCCATCCACACACCCACGCACGGTATACTGGACTGAATCTGGAGGATTGTATTTCAACTTCCGTCCAGTTCTAGCTCACTGCAACAGTTAAGAGATGTTTCCTATAGAATCAATGCCCAGATCTCTTTGGTTTCAGTAGGAACTGAGCATTTCCCCCCCTTGGTTGCTTGGTCTCTGGTTTCTTGACTTCAGAGAAATGCAGCTTTGGTTCATCAACTCCTTCCACCCTTCAGGAGAATTATTTCCTGTATGTATGTCCTATCCAGAGAACTATCACATACATTTAAACCTGCTCTACTTTATCCCATTAATCCTGCTCGTGATCTCAACCTTGAGCCCCAGCAAGCTGTTTTGGCCTGGAGAAAAAGCATTTGGAATTCAGTATCTGTGAAGCACACAGCAAGATAGTTCCTGTGCCAGGTTTGTCCCCTGGTGTGGGACTGACACCCAGAGCCACCAGAAGAGACCCCCAAAGCTTTTCCCACTTCTTCTCTGGCAGAGTGGAAGAGACAGGGTCTTCCTTGTTGGGAATAAGAGTATTTTACATGGAAATCAGACATTTTTCTTGCAGGGATGCCCAGGAATTCAATGGTGATGGCTTAATCCAGCTGCCACAGTGTATCCCTACCCCACGCCCATACAACTGTTTATGTAAATATTTACGTTTATTTGATATGCATCTCACTCTCTGGCTGGGAATATCAAACAGAAGAGCTGATCCTCCTTAAAAATCATGGCACTCGGATGATTCTCTTGAGGAAATGAGTGATGTATTTTGTGGGATGGAGAGCAGGTGGGTTTTTGCCCCTTGGAACCCCCACTGATGTTCTGACCCCGCTGATGTCCTCAACACCTCAGCTGACCTGGTTTCCTCTCATTTTTTGCTGCTGTTGGGGCTGGGATACCAAGACCAACCTGCTGCATCCTCTGGCTCTTGAGCAACTCCACCTGCTCACAGCCTTAAGCCAGTGTACTACTCAAAAAATCTTTTGTGTTTGTTTAGCGGATATTTCCAGATGTTTTTATTTTCTCTAAGTAGAATTTTCAAAATCTTCAGGACAAAATACATGGCAATTTGAGGTGGAAATTCTCTTGTATAAATCAGCTGGGGAGTATAACTAGTGAGGAAAATGCATGATGCAAATCACTGTCTGGGAATGTTTAACATGATCTGAAACCTTCGATTCAGAAAATCAAAAATTATCTCTGTTGCAAACCTAATTTCTCTCTTTCCGGGCCTGAGAAAAGAAGGTGCCCACCAAACAATTCTGACATTCATTTCAGCTCCACAGTCCAGTCATTGTGGCAGAAAATAGATCCTACAGGAAAATGTTACTTCAGAAAAACAGGAGCCTCGCAGGCATAGCCCTATAAAAGCAGCAGCAGCTTAATGGAGTTTAGAGTTAAGGAAAAAGTGCTGTGATTTCACTTTGGACTTGCAGGTACTTCAAAATAAAAAGCATTTGCCATCAGATAAAAGAGCTGGAGATCACCAACACTGGTCAAACTCTGGGATTTCCCTTCTTATTGGAAAAATATGCGGACTTGAGTTCAAATTTTCCGGGTGTCAACCCATGATCTGTGTCTTCAGGAGGGACAAATTTCCTGCTGGGACAACTCTACAAGGATTAACATATCTGGTAATAGACATTGGTTATATTTGTTGGGTCACCCCTTCTCTCACTGCTGATCTGTGTGTGCCCACAGAGCAGGTTTTTGTAACTAATGTTGGCTGGGGGGAGATGATGAGATGGTTGAGGGGTGTTAAGGCACAGAGCCCATGTAGGTTTGTCAACACATGGACCTGGTATTGTCCTTCCAGAGCCCAAAGCCTCTCCATAGGGTTGGAATTTTGCTTTAATGGAAATGAAGCCCACATGGGGAATGCACAGTGGTTTAGGTGTGCAAGACGTGGTGTTTGTTTGCTTGCTGGCATCATTAATTTCATCTGACAGAAATGCCTCGTTAAGGGTGAAAGTCATTGTAACATAAAGCACCGAGGGGTTACAGTGTTCTGGGGATTTATTTAAACCCAAATATTTTCCTGTGTATGTGTATTCAAGTCATTAGTTACTTCTTCAAGTTTACTCAGCTGCTCAGATGGATGAGGAGAATGTCTGGGTAAGACTTTTTAGGGGTTTTGTTGTTGAGTATCTGGGATTGGTCACGTTAGCGTAATGTTTTCTGTGAGAGAGCTGATTTACAAGGAAAACAGCACACAAAAGCAGGGATAAAGTTTCTGGCAGCTCTCTCCAGAGGAAACAGTTCCCTGATACAGCCATCACAGCAAGAGCTCCACGGCTAAAAATACCCCAGCTCGCCTCCTGTGAAGGGCTGCTTGCCCCTTTGACTTGAGGGACAGACATGCCTGTGTGCTTTGATGGGTGAGTAATTATCTTTCCAGGAGCATTTGACTGGCCACTTGTTCACTGCCAGAGTAAATCAGGATACAGGGTTGTCCCACAGGGTCGTATTTCCAGCTCTGTGACTCCAGCCAGTGTAGTTTGTCGCTCAGTGGTTCCTTGTTGGGCTGGATGCCAGTGAGATGCCCTCACTGTGCTCCCCCACTGCCCTGGCCACAGGTCAGCACCTGGCAACTCCAGCTGAGACCATTCCCCATCTGCAGCCTTCTGAATAAAAGGGGGTTTTATTTGAACAGCGGCACAAACTGAAATGCGATAAAACGGGATGCTGGTTAACGAAGCTACTGAAAACCTTTCAAATATACTGCAGGTAGAGAAACTCGACTTGTGTCTGAAAATATTAACTAAATTTAGATTTAAATATGTGTCTACTGACATCAAAATCACAAAAATTCTTGCCCAAAATCCTTACTTAGAGAGAGGAGCCTGTGCTGCTCCTGGAGTGGTGCCAGTCTGTGGTCAGTGATGCTGTACTGGTGTGTTGGGCTCTGGAAGAGAAACTTGTCTCCAGCTGAGCTACATGGAGGTATTTTGGGTGATTAAGGTTTGTCTCTTGCAATGTCTTGTTTAGCTGTGACAAAACTGCT